ACCTGTCAAGTATTTAATTTGCCAAAGGGAAACAGTTTGATTCTAAGGGTAGTCTTAAGGCTGAAGAAGCAAATTGGAAAAATTAAACATTATTGAATAGAAGTAATGAGAAGGACGTGAGGGGGAAAAATTGTAGGCTTAATCCAACATGGCGTGTCAGCATCTGTCATTAACGCAACAATATGATCATGTTCTCCAATAGGCATATACCTGGGGCTTCTCAATTTTCACGCCTTGGCTTCTTTTTAAAAACAGGAGAATAATGGAGGGGGAAAATCAGAGGATTAAATCTAGTGATAGTGAAAAAGATGAAGACAGTAACTTGTACCTGTTGTGCACATAAAATTATACATTTGAAAACAGAGAATAAGGTATAAGTTAATAATAAATTCAAAGTAATTGTTGGTCAGATTTGGACAGCTACCAGTTTAGGTACATTAATAATTAAATTATAAATATTAATAAGTCAGCAATTGGTAAACTACACAGAATATTTAAATACAAATCTTTTGTACATCATGAGTTAATTTTAATTAAATCATAGCTGTATACATTAATGCAGTCATGGGGTACAGAGTGTTGGTTCTATATACAATCTGAAATATTTTCATGAAACTGTTTAACATAGCCTTCATGTCATTTTCTTAGTTATTGTGTTAAGACATTTATATTCTACATTTAGAAAGATTCACATGTACCCTGTAAGATGAACCACAGGCATGGTCCCACCAATCATCATGAGTTAATTTTTCTAAGTGGCAAGAGGTGCAGGTCCAGTTTCAGTCTTTTACACGAGACTAACCAGTTCTCTTAGCATCATTTATTAAACAGGGATTCTTTTCTGCAGTGTATGCATTTGTTTGCTTTTGTTTGCTTTATCAAAGATCAAAGCTGGTTTCATCTCTAGGTTTTCTGTCCTATTCTATAGATCCCTATTTGTATGCTAAAACCATGCTATTTTGATCACTGTAGAGCTGTAGTATAACCTGAAGACTGGTAACATGATACTTTTAGATTTGACCTTATTTTGTAGAATTGAGTTGGCTATTCACAGGGTTTTTTCCGGTTCCACACAAAACTATCATAGAACTACTTTTACAAGATCAAAGTATGACACTGGTATTTTAATGGGGCTTGCATTAAATCCCAGGTTGCTTTGGACAGTATGAAATTTTAACAGAGTTGATTCTTCTCAGACATAAGTATGGTACATTCTGCCATCTGTTGACATCCTTTGCTATTTTTTTTCTCAGTGTTTCTTTCTGTAGAGATCCTTCATATCCTTTGTTAAAAGATTTAAGTCTAAGACACAACCTATAAAAACTCTAGAAGAAACTGTGGGAAAACTCTGAATCTTATCAGCCTAAGGAAAGAATTCATGAAGAAGACCCCACTGACAATCACAGCAACAATAAAAATAAATAACTGGGTCTTGATCAAATTAAAAAGTTTCTGTATAGCTAAAGATGCAAAGCCGAAACAACCTTCACAATGGGAGAATATATTTGCATGCCAGGAATCTGACAAGGGGCTAATAATCAGAATCTAAAAAGAACTCAAGCAAATCAACAAAAAAAAAAAGAGTAAATGACCCCCATTAAAAACTGGGCAAGAGACTTGAACAGAATCTTTTTTAATGAGGACAGACAAATGGTCAACAAACACATAACAAAAAGCCCATCAGAGAAATGCAAATCAAAACCACCTTGAAATACCACCTAACCCCACTGAGAATGGCCCACATCACAAAGTCCCAAAGCAACAGATGCTGGTGTGGGTGCAGAGGGAAGAGAATACCATTGTCAGTGGTGCTGCAAACCTCAAAGAACCAAAAGTAGACCCTCCTTTTGATCCTACGATCCCAGTACTAGGTATCTACCAAAAAGAAAAAAGTCATTTTACCATAAGGACATTTGCACTTAAATGTCTATAGAAAAACAAGTCATAATCACCAAGATGTAGAAACATGTGCCTTTCAACCCACGAATGAATTAATAAACTATGAGATACACACACACACACATACACACACACACCGTGGAATATTAGGCAGCCATAAAAAAGATGGGGCTTTTTATAGCTTTTGTAACAACCTGGAAGGATTTGGAGAACACTCTCCTACATATCACAAGAATGGAAAAACAAGCATCACATGTACTCAATACTAAAGTGAAACTAGTAGATTAACAACCACAATGCCCACATAAGAGAAAAATACAATTAAATTCAAGAAGGGAGGAGGTGGGGAGGATTTCAATAAATTCCCACCCAACAGTACATGGTACAAATATATGGCACATTTCCTGGGTGAAGGACACAACTACAACTTAGACCTTTCCTAACAATGCAAACAACGTAACCTAATTTTATGTACCCTCATGTTAATCTGAAATATATATAAATAATTAAGCATAAATAGGATATTATAAAGTCTATAATATTCAGATTCAATTTTAAAATAGAAAATAATACAAGGTTTGTTTTTTGTTGTTTTTTTTTTTTTTTCAGTTTTTGGCTGGGGCCAGGTTTGAACCCACCACCTCCGGTATATGGGGGCCAGTGCCCCACTCCTTTGAGCCACAGGCTCCACCCAATAATACAAGGTTTTTAATGTATATCCTAGTCATAAAAAAAAATGGTCAACAAATGGAATGGAATTAGTAAAAATGAAGGTTAAAATAGAGTAAAGCCGGGCACCAAGGCTCAGTCTGTAATCCCCGCCACTCTGGAATGTGAAATGGGAAGGTCACTTGAGGCCAGGAGTTCAAGACAAGCCTGATCAACACAGTGCAACTCTGTTCCACAAAAAAATAAGAAAAAGAAAAAAAAAAAAACCTATCTGAATGCAATGATGTGTGCTTACAGTCCCAGCTATTCAGGAGACTGAGGCAGGAGTTTTGCTTGAGCCCAGAAGTTCAAAGCTGCAGTGAGCTCTGATGGTTTCACTCCATACCCTGGGTAACAGAGTAAGACCATGTCTCTATAAAGAAATAGAAACAGGAATGAATGAATGAATGAATAAGGAGCCACAGAGACTGTAAAAGTTATCAAAGTAAAACTCTTGGCATCTAGGGACTGATGAAAGATAGACTGCAGAGTCAAAAAAAGAAAGGGCCCCCTATGCCTTGTGAACCAAGAAAACTTGAGTTCTAGTTCTGACTCTACTCTTGTAATGAAGTCATTCAACTTCTCTAAGCCACTGTAATCTGCAGGGTATAAATTAGATGTTTTCCTTGTCTTTTTCAGTGTTAGTTTTCCCCTCTATATGAAGAAGTGACCAAGGAGCCCACGGTCCAAAAACACGTAAGACATGCCTACGAATTCACAGACAGAACTCCCCTAGCCTTGGAATATATTAGTGTCTATCACTAAGAAAACAATAAGATCATACTTTACGTGGGTGCAGTTCCAACAGATTTATAAGTAGGTTTCGTCTGAATCACATGGGACCCAGATAGTCTTAGAGCCCATACCCTACCTCCATTGGGTAAAACCAGCTCAACATGCAGGCCCATCTGTTCCCTCCAATCTTCAGAAGCACTGTGTGCAAAGACTATTCACCTTGCACATGGCTGGCTAGAAGGGAAATTGTCAGTTATCTCACTTGGCTAGCGGTATTTCCCAGTATACTTGCTAGTCTTCTTTTTAACTTTTCCTTTCACTCTGACCATGTTTTCACATAACATAATAAAGAGAGGAGACATATGTTCAGCCTCTGTACACTTTGAAAAAGCAGATAATTTTCCACATCATTATCTTGCTTCTATTAAAAATACTAGTTTCTCCAACAGCTTGCCAATCCATTCTCAAAATCAGTGTTGAAAACCAATCTTTTCCAGAACTAGAAAAGGAGACAGGCACAACTACATAAACATCTTTTTAAATTCATTTTTGAAATGATTAAATAGAAAACCATTAAATAGAAATTCACTATAAAAATATTTTTGAAGGTTCTTCTTGATTTACTTTTTCTGGTGCAAAAGTATTTAGATTAAGATGTCACATGATATTAAAAAATTCCTTCTCTATTACCCCCTATTTGTTCTTTTGCATTAAGGCACATTTTTAGGGATTTTTAATTGGAGCTAGTCTTTCACTAAATTATAAAACTAGTCTTCAAATTTCATTTTTAACCTTTTAAGGCAAAATATTTGCTAGCAAGTCATCTATAACCATTAAGTTAATGCTAAATCATGAGAATGAGAATTAACTTGAAGGCATAATTAGACTGACTTCAAATCTTACGAGAATAACAACCCTTTTAAAAATATTTTTTAAAAACCTGAGAAATTATAATTAAATTAAGTGAGTTCAAAGAACATCTGACTTCAATTTTCATTCTGTCATTGTGATATGTTTCAATTTTAATATAAATACTAGGACTTTTTAATGCTCATAATTTTTACAGGGGAAAAAAAACACTGTGTTACATTTAGAAGTTCCAATGTTTGTCACCATCTGACGCTGTCATGGAAGCAATTGCTACTTACACTCTTTTAAGAAGTGAGAACTGCAGCTCCTTTAACTGATGACAATGTAATTATTCCTCTGACTGTCAAAACAGAGGTGATTTCCCTTCCTCATACACATGATTACACATGCAAACCCAGGCTTATCTGAAATCTTATAAGTGTACTGAATGTCTGTAACTGAGTAAGCAGGATCACATGAACAATGAGCTCAGCGCTGATGGAAACCAAGTCTACAGCCTTCTACCCTAAACATATTTTTATCATCCCCTTCTCCTGTAGGAATTCGTTCTTCGGCATCCACACAGCTTTCAACACAATGTCATATCATCTACAATATACGGCAACAACCATTACAAAAATAACTAGGAGGAAAAAAGTCACAGTGAATATGAATGTCTTGCTTGGAGGTTTAAGTGACTCCATTAACTATTCATTAACACATAGAAAACTCAGCCTTTCAGAAAAGGCAAACCTTTCCCAAGATCTATGTCATGCCGTGAACACCTGCTTGGATGAATGACGCCTTACCTGGTCTTTCAGCTGCTGTACAGAAGTCTGAAGGTTCAGAATCTGACTGAAGAGAGGGCTCTGCAGGACTGACTTCAGAAGGCTCAGTTTGTCTTCATTTGCTACATCCCCACGTTCTCGCAGCTTGGTTTGCAATCGCTCTGCTGCCTGCAGGGCCCGATTTTTGTCTATAACAAAGCATAGTATTAGTCAGTAACGGGATTCAAAGGACACACATCCAACCTGAGGACTCCATCTTATAGATATCTTAAAACTACTCCTTTTGTGTGTACAAAATTGCCTCCTTTTAATTGAAAAAAAGACTGTTAAATAAGCAAATTTTTAGCACAAAAGTACAAAAAAGTACAAAATAGAGTACATTTTAATATTTTCAATGTCTTTCCCCCAAATTAAATAGCAAACAGCATACCTATACACTTCAAATCAATCTAATTCAAACAATTATTGACAAAAATCACGCACAAAGTTGCAGAAGTAAATATTTTGAGTAAGTGTGTCCTAATAGTCCTAGCATCCTACATTCATACTTGTACCAGTGGAACTATCACAAATAATAGTTTCAAACATCTCCCTGAAATACACGCATATGAATACACGTGTACACTTATACTTTCCAAGCCAAATTTGTATTTTTGTTAAATTTGAGATTGTTCAGAAATATGTCCTAAGATTCATGACATCAACAAATATATCTATTAAAATATGTTTGCCACATCCCCGTAGTTAAAAAAACCTAGGAAAGTAAGGGGAATTGTGGGGCAAATGGAAAAAAAAAAAAAGTGGAATCATCAGCAGAGATACTTTCTATAGCACCAGATCTGGAATTGCAGAAAAACTAGATAATTAAAAAATGAATTGATGTTGGGCAGTGCCAGTGGCTCAAAGGAGTAGGGTGCTGGCCCCATATACCAGAGGTGGTGGATTCAAACCCGGCCCCCAAGCCAAAAAACTGCAAAAAAAAAAAAAAAAAAA